CCCGCCTCCTCTTCCTGCCCCGCAGCCTTCGGTGCGGGAGGCAGGGTCTCCGCGGGGCAGGCTCGGGGTGCCTGGCTGCTGTCCCGGAAAGCCGCACGGAAGTGGAGAGGGGTGATCCCTCCCGCAGGGACGCGAGTGTCGTGTCCCACTCACTCCTTTGCCCCGGCACCCACACGGCAACCCCGGCTATGGTCGGGAAGCTGCGGGACAAGGCGAAACGCGTGTCCCGAGACACCCAGGAAGGACTATCGCAGAGTTAGGAGGGAGGAGAGGGAGGAGGAGGAAGCGCGCGGAGGGGACACGCCGTTCCCTCCCGGGACATCATGGAGTTAGGGAGGGAAAGGGCCACGGCGAGTAGAAGAAAAGTCCCCGTAAACCGAAAAAGGAAAACAAAACCAAAAAAAATTAAAATTAAAATCCGAGGAATCTCCGCAAATTTCCCTCCCCCTCCCCCTTCTCCTCTTGCCCCAGCTCCGGATGTTTCGCGGGACGCGTTGCCCCCCCGCCCGGCGCCGCTGTCCCGGTGAGCAGCTCCCGACAGGGCTCGGCGGGGAGGAAGCGGGGCTGGGGGGTCCCCGAAGAGAAAGGAGTTGCACTAACCGGGGTTGAGGTCCAGGCACTGAGTCGGGTCTTCATTGTCCCCTAGCTGGCCGTTGGGGCTGAGGCTTTCCATGGACAAATCCAGACCCTTGTCCTCCCAGTCTCGCAGTTTCCTCTTTTTATTCGTCCCAATCAAGGCTTCTACCGAGAAAGCGTGTGCTCGGGAGCTGAGGGCCACGGCCGATCTTCGTCTCTCGCTCATCTTATCCCCCAGCCCAGACCCTTGGGCAGACGAGCGGCCAGTGGCTGGGAGAGCAGAGCTCGGGGACCAGAGGCAGAGCCTCTCGCCTCTTTCTCCCCCCACCCCTCCCCAGCTGCACCCCCAGAAAACCAGCCCTCAGTCTCCTGAAGGCACTACATGAGGCTGCAGATACTCCGCAGGCAGAGCCGGGAGGGTGTGCTCAGCCCAGGTCCCCAGCACTTGCTCAGAGGGGCAGCAGGCTGGATTTCATCTTTTTTTTTTTTTTTTTTTTTTTTTTTTTTTCTCCTCTTTC